GCGGCCCCTGCCGGGGGCGCGCGGCGGTGGATCTGGGACGTCGGGCAGCCGCGCGCGTCCTCCTCTCAGCACGAGCCACTGGGGCTGCGGTGCGGTGGCCGGTGCGCGCGGCACCGCGGGGCCGGCCCGCGGGGGCTGCCAGCCCGGCACCCAGGTGGTCACCCACGCCCCTACCTCGGGGGCGGGAAGAAGGCGCCCGGGACAGGAAGCGCGGTGGCGCGGGGAAGGCGGAGGTCAAGTTCCAACTGCCCCTCCACACACACATGCCTGCGCTCCTGGAGCCTACGCTACAGACTTGGCTTCCGATGGTCCCAAACAATGGGAGGGAGCGTGGAAGACAGGCCGGAGAAGGATTGGCCAGCTCGCTGGCGTCGGAGTCTTCCTGCAGAGTATCTGCAGGGCGTGGATTCAGCCGTTCCCCACCCCGTCCCCAGTCTCAAGTCTGGCCTGGAGCTGGGTGGAGTGGGGGATCTGTGGTCAGGGTGAGGACTCGGTCCCTGGAACTGCTGGGCGATGTGCCATTCCAATGAGGCTGCAGCGGGGCAGGGCGGCTTAGGAATGCCAGCCTGTGGTCAGAGCACAGCTTTGAGAAGATCACTCTGGCTGTGGTAAGGACAGGGGGCTGGTATGGTGGACACGACGATGTGCCGCTCAGGTCCCCTTTCAAGCAGGGTCTTCCTGCTCAGCCTCCAGCCGCCGCGTTCTACGGGGTTGGCTTCAGCTGCAAAGAGCCACCTCACCGCAGGTCTCCTTCCCCGAGCAGCCGCATCCCGTGTCTGAGGGCCTGGGGATACAAAGGCTGTCCATACAGTTCCGCCAATGTAGGACCCTGGTAGGAAACTCTGCGTTAGACGTGGGCACTTCAGAGTCCCCACCTGGACCGGCTCCAAGCTGCTTCCCACCAGAGCAGGGACTGGCATAGGGCAAGCCAGGGCAGGGATGAGACCCTCCCCGGTGTCACAAGTGAAAGGAATTAGAGAATTGCTCACGCTTTCAGCCAAAAGGTATCCATGAGGTCCTAATGTGTGCTGTGTCCTTGCAGGGTGCTGGAGATCCCGAGATAACTGAAGAGACCCCCCCAGCAGTCACTGCCAGACTCCACCGGACCTCCTGGCAAGGTGTCCAGCTGGACGGTGGCTCATTCATGCTCTCGTTTAGCCTTGGTATCTGTCCGGCTGTGGGGAGAATAGGTGTCCTTGTCCTTTCTGGGGGCCCAGGATCCCTCTGGGCAACAAACCTGAAAACTGTCTTATAAATCTTGTAGTACAAGACAGATACCACCATCTCTCATTTGATTTCACAGATTTGGAATTAAAGCTCCTCTCCTGAGGAAAAAAAAATGCATTTAGAATAGTGTGATCAATATGCAAATTTATTCAAAGCATGCAAGTGTGTGTTTTAGATTCTCTTGAAGAAAGTGATTTGGGGCTGGCTGGTCTTTTCCCGCCCAGTGCAGTCCTCCCCGGGCCCAGCCTGGCTGACTCAAGGAGGTCCTGAGCCCTTTTCAGCGAGCCTGACCGGCAGGACAGCCCCCCAGCCCTGCACACTCCAGGGGCCTCGCCCTGTGGAGACCATATTTCCGATGGCTGAGTCTCCCTCGGTGTGAAAAAGGGGCTCTCAGAAGACTAAGACACCCCCCATGCACAGATGGACTGCTGGGTGAAGAGGCCTTCGTGTGCGGGTACATCTGTGCCCCCCACAGGTGTTCACGTGTGAGGCTTCCACAGGTAGGCGGTCGTCCCTGGGGTGGCTATTTCAGTGCGTACAGAGCTTGGCAATTCTGAAAGCCTGGGTAGTTGCGTGCGGGACAGGCTGAGAAAACATGTTCTTGGAAAACAGGCCCCAGGCGCCTGAGAGGCACAGCCCCAAGCCCGGTGGGCCCAGAGGGATCCCAGACGGCAGCAGCTGGGGCGGAGTCTCAAAGAGACTGCTGTCATTCCTCTGGACAAAAACTCCGTACTCAGAGGCGGGCAATTAACAGATGATGGAGCGAGCGCTGCCCCGCTCTGGCCTGGTGGGGTTCAGCACCCCTCCCACCTTCTTAGGCAAGGCCAGCTGGGCGGGCAAGGCCTTTAGGACCAGAGGACTCCAGGCCTGCCTGCTGGCACCAGCAGACAGAACAAGGGCTCAAGAGGAGCGGGGAGTCCCCTGACCACGAGGTCCGCTGCTGTGCCCCTCTGGCCGCCTGCCTCGCACTAGCCGCCTACTCTGGGCATGCGGCTCCAGGAGGCACACTGCGCTCTCCCTCTTGTTTCCAGTGCGGCCGTGGCTGGAGCACTCTCTGCCTCCCTGCTTCTCCCCACCACACGCCCTGCAGCTCACCGCCTGACCTCCCCGGAAGAGCTGCTGCCAAAAGCAGGGCCCAGGCCCCTGAGCCCAAGGAGCCCCATCCCCTGCCAGGACCAGGGTCCCTGAGGGGCCAGGCTCATCGCTGTTTCCATGGGGATGTGTGCACTCTGACCCCAGCCTTTCTCCATCCCTGGCCAAATAAAGAGGGCTTCCAAGTGGAAACTGGCAGTCTTAAGCCACCCCTCCTCCCATGCCCCAGGTGGCCCCTGCCTCCAAGGAGGGGAAGGAATAGAGGCCCTTCCCCCAGCCCAGGCAGAGCGGGGGGGGGGGGGCCTCCCCGCACCCCACCTTCCCAGCAGCCCCTTCCCAGCCCTGCCCACTCGCTACACTCTCCAGACTTGGAAACTTGCCTTTTCCGAGGTCTGGCTCTGCCTGTGCTCCCACCCGGCCCGAGGGCCACTTCAGTCTGCTGGGACAGCCACCAGGAGCCAGCAGGCAGCACTGCAAGGCTCCTCAGGGCCACAGTGGCCAACCCTCCGTTGCATGGGGGTCGCTGTCAGGCAGGGAAGATAGACATGTGGACTGAAGCCTGGCTGAGGGGTCTCCCGTCCAAGTCCTGGCTAAGAGGCCTGAGCAGGAGGTTTGTCCACCCTCTCTCCTTCCACCTTGGGGCTGACCCCCCCCCCCCAGAGCCTCCCAGAGACCTGAAGCACCTGTCATCAGAGTCTCAGTGGTCACCTCCAAGAGCAAACCAAAGCCCAAGGCCAGGGTCCGGTCCTGGAGGCAAACACAGACCCTCCTGCCCCCAAAAGCCGCTTCCTGGAGACCCCACCTAGCATTCCCCCACACCCTCCAGGGACTGCACTTCCTACGTCCCTTCTAATCCAGCCTCTCTCCAGTAGGAGGCAGCCTTGGCCCCCTCCAGTCCATGCTCTGCATTCAACCAGGAGAATGTTTCTTTTGTGTTTTTTTTTTTAAATGTTTATTTTATTTTTGAGAGAGACAGAATGTGAGCAGGGGAGGGACAAAGAGAGAGGGAGACAGGATCCCAAGCAGGCTCCAGGCTCTGAGCTGTCAGCACAGAGCCTGCCAGAGCTCGAACCCATGAGCCATGAGATCATGACCTGAGCCGAAGTCGGAAGCTCAACTGAGTTACCCAGGCGCCCCTCTTTTTCTTTTTTAAGTTTTATTTATTTTGAGATAGAGCATGCGCATGAGTGGGGGAGGGGCGGAAAGAGAATCCCAAGCAGGCTCCCCACTGTCGGTACAGAGCAGGGAATTTTTCTAAACCACAAAACTGACCATGTCAGCCAACTGTTTAAAATCCTGCTTGACTCCTCGGGGCGCCAGGTGGCTCAGTCAGTTAAGCGTCTGTCTTCGGCTCCGGTCAAGATCTCAAGGTTGGTGAGTCTGAGCCCCACATCGGGCTCTCTGCTGTCAGTGCAGAGCCCGCTTCAGATCTTCTGTCTCCCTTTCTCTGCCCCTCCTCCGCCTTGCACATGCACTCTCTCTCTGTCTCGAAAATAAACATTAACAAAATAAAAAATAAATAAAAATAAAATCCTGCTATGACTTCTCCGTGTCCTTCACACAAAACCCACTCCTCAGCCAGTGTTGGACTTTCAAGAGTGGGAAGGACACTGCCTGTGCCTCTCCAGCCCAGCCCTCTCCCCAGAGCTCCAGTGTCTGAAGCTGACTCCCTCCCCGCTGGATGTCACCCCTTGGACAGCCACACCCACCCACCCTTGTTGGATGTCAAATTGAACTTCTTCTCCCCCTGCCCGTACATCAGATCTGAGCTGGGAGACTACTTTCTCCAGAAGCCTTCCTTGGCTCCTCCCAGGCTGGCTGAGTCCCTCTGGAAGGTACACACAACTCTGTGTTTATCTCCAGGTGGCACTGCTGCCTGGACCTGGATGGCCAGTCTCCTAGTCCTGGTTGCACTTTAACAGGTGGTTTAGGGCCCCACTAAAGTGCCATCAAACAACACAGTTACTGTTTCACAGTTGTGGAGTCCAGAAGCCTGAAGCTGGGGCGCATGTAGGGCCATGCTCCCTCTGAGGCTCTCAGGGGGAATCTTTCCTGGTCCCTTCCCAGCTTCTGGTGATGATGGGCAGTACTTGGTGTCCCTAGGCTTGCCTTGGCATCGGTCCACTCCTGGGCTCTGTCTTCACACAGCCTCCTTCTTGTGTGTCCACCTGTCTGTTTTATCTTCCTTTTTTTTTTTTAAGATTTTATTTTTTAAAGATTGTTGAAGGAGAAAGAGAGAGAGAGAGAGAGAGAGAGAGAGAGAGAGAGAGAGCTTGCACACAAGCCGGAAAGGGGCAGAAAGACAAGGAGTGAGAGAATTCCAAGCAGGCTCTGCCTGATGTGGAGCTTGATCACACAGACAGCAAGATCATGACCTGAGCCAGAATCGAAAGTCGGTTCTTAATGGACTGAGCCACCCAGGCACCCCCCTCTTTTTTTTTTTTTTTTTAAAGACTTTTTTTGAGTAATCTCTATACCCAAAGTTGGGACTCCCAACTCATAACCCCAACCAAGAACCTCATGCTCCACCAACTGGGCCTGCCAGGTACCCCTATTTTCTCTTAAGGACGCCAGTCACTGGATTAGGGCCCCCCTAAGAACTTCATCCTTATTTGATTACATCTGCAAGGGCCCTATTTCCAAATAAAGTCGCATTCACAGGCAGGGGGTTAGGACTTGGACATATCTTTGGGCGGACACCGTTCAACCCACATCTCTCTTACTAGCTGTACGACCTTGGGCAGGGTGTGAGGCTTCCGTGTGCACAGCGGGGCAGTAGGGCAGCGCCCGTGGGGAGCGGCTGGCAGGAAGCAATGGCCGCGTGAGGTCAGAGCCCGCCTTCCTGAGGGCACATGCTCCCATTTGCCCGGCGGCCTTCCCTCGAGGAAGCGCGGGGCACGCCCGGCTGGGGGGGGCGGGGGGATGGCGCGGGCAGCCGCGGCGTGGGGGTGGGCGCCGAGGGGAGCGGGGGTAGCCGGGCAGGCAAGTTCGCGCGATCCGGCCGCGGGATAGGGAGGCGGCCGCCGGGCGACCACAGAGGTTAGGGACCTGCCCCAGCCCGGGACGCTGGGCTGCCTCCGCCCTGGCCCCGCCCCACGTCACGCCCGGCCCATTGGCCACGCGCCTCGAGGCCCCGCCCGCCGCTCCGGCCCCGCCCGCTCCCCCCTCCTGGGGCGCTTCTTCCTGCCTCCGACCTCCCACGGCCCGGCTGCCGGCGGGTTGGGTCTCTGCAGCCTCGGCGGAGGGAAGGAAGCGATGCCGCGGCACCGAGGACAGTGATGAGAGGAGGGGCGACCTACGCCATGCCGCGCCCGTCCCTCCTGCGGCCCCCGCACCCTCGTCCTCCGCGGGGACTGCCCCAGGTCGAGGACCACTCGGGTCAGGGCTGCGGCCAGCGCTGCCCACTCATTCAGGCTTTGGCTAAAGAACCATTGGTTTGTGCTAAAGTAGCGCTTCTTTTTCTAATTATGAAGATTGCAGGAATTCAAAACCCAAAACAACAAAGAGAAGAACGTGAAAGGTCTTCCCAAGCCCTGGGCCTGCCGGAAAGTGTAAGCACTGGTAACAGCTTGGGGGACGCTTTGGACCACGGCTGTTCTGGACTAGTGACCAGCTTCAGCAGCCTGAGTTGGGGACTCACCGGAGAAAGCAGGAGCGGCCATTCAGAGCCAGCCTGCTGGGAAGCCACACAGGACACAGAGCCTGGCCTCTCTCCCTCACTCCTGTACCAGCCAGATGGATCATTTAACATTTTTTCTTGCAATAATGTCATTGCATTACTGCTGTAATGTCCTGCAACATTTACTGGAAAGATGCACAGATAACACAGAGCTCCCCCCACCCATTTCCTTTAATGTCCACACCTTCTATTTCCGTGGTAGCTTTATCACAACTAAGAAACCAACGTCAGTCCATCACCACTAACTAAATTCTAGGCTTGATGCAGAGTTCACCAGGTTGCCCACAAACGTAGAAAGAGCTTGCCTTTGAAAAAAACACTTTTGATTGAGGCTCCTGTATGGGCTATTGGAGAGAATCCTGTGCCAGACTGGCCCTCCACTGCAACCAATCATTAACATGGACAAAACAGACGAGGCAGCCCTTTTCAGGTGTGAAAAACAGGAAATGCAGGACTGCAATCCCCAGGGAAGGGAAATTCCTGAGGTCCACCTTGCCCACCCCAGCTTGCTACTGTGGCAGTCTCCCACCCTGGCACAGAGAGATGGCGTCCAGCCAGGCCACCCCATATTACTGAGCTGAGGACGCAGTGGTGCTGCCGGAATCCGGTGAGAGGGGAGTCTCAGAGTTCCCACTGTCCTTGGCTGAGGACGGGGCTGCACGGATGGTGAGGCCTCCAGGCTTGCCACAGAACAACTGTCGTGGGAGCTCTGGGCCCGCTGGAGTGGACACCTCGTCCAAGCCCACGAATGTCCCTGGCGTATGGCAGAGACACCGGGATCCGTGCCCCGGGAACTTGTCTATTCTTGATTGTCATGTGTCACGTTACCCCAAAACTTAATGGTTGAAAACAACAGTAGACATTGATTATCATGTGCAGTTTCTTTGGTCGGGAATTCAGGGTGGGTGAGCCAGCTTTGGGGCTGCAGGTGGGCTACCAAGATGGCTGACTCGGGTGTTTCTGGATATTGGCAGGCGGCCTCCGTTCCACCCCACAGGGGCCTCTCCACAAGCTGCTCCAGTGTCCTCCCAACACAGGGCTGGCGTCCCCTGGAGTGGGAATCCGCAGGAAAGAAGGCGCAAGCTGCAGAGCTCTTAGTGATCTGGCCTCGGAAAGCGCACACTGTCATCGTTAAAAGAAGATAACAGAATCTAGAGACTATACCGTATTATCCACAACAAGCAATAAACAATAAAGTCACTCAGCATGCAAAGAAAACAGGAGATGTGGCTATTACCAAGGAGAAAAAAAGAATCGACAGAAGTCAACCCTGAGCCCCATTTTAGGTTTGACAGAGAAAAACTTTAAGGCAGTTGTTTTAAGATACTCAATAATTAAAGGAAAATATGGTCTAATGAATGAAGAGAAATCTCAATAGAAAATAGAAGCTGTTAAAAAGTACCAAATAAAAATCCTACAAATGACAAAAAAAAAAAAAAAAATCACCATATGGGATTCACAGCAGACTGAAGCTGATAGAAGAGTGAATTTAAAGACAGACTAAGGGTCATTATCCAATCTGAAGAACAGGAAAATGTTGAAGAACATGAGCAAGCCATCTCAGGCACCTGCTGGACAATATTAAAGGGTTAACATATGTGTGTTAGAACCTGAGAAGGAGATGGGGCGCCTGGGTGGCTCAGTCGGTTAAGCACCTGACTTCAGCTCAGGTCATGATCTCTCGGTTTGTGAGTTCGAGCCCCGCATCAGGCTCTGGGCTGACAACCTGGAGCCCGGAGCCTGCTTCGGATTCTGTGTCTCCTTCTCTCTCTGCCCCTCCCCCACTTGCGCTCTGTCTCTCTCTCTCTCTCTCTCTTAAAAAATCAACAAACATGGGGCGCCTGGGTGGCTCAGTCGGTTAAGCGTCCGACTTCAGCTCAGTTCACGATCTCACGGTCCATGAGTTCGAGCCCCGCGTCGGGCTCTGTGCTGATGCTGGCTCAGAACCTGGAGCCTGCTTCCGATTCTGTGTCTCCCTCTCTCTCTGCCCCTCCCCCATTCATGCTCTGTCTCTCTCTGTCTCAAAAATAAATAAAAAAAATTTTTTTTTTAATTTTTAAAATCAACAAACATAAAAAAAAAAAAACTTCATAAAAAACAAAAAGAACCTGAGAAGGACAGAAAGGTAGGACTGACACAGGAAAAAAAAAAAAAAACAGTTGTCAAAATAATGGCGAAACTTTTCCACAGTTGACAAAAACATTGACTTACATATCCAAGAAGCTCAGCAAACCCCAAGCAGCCCTGCTGGGATGCAAGCACACATAGGCACTTCCTGGTCAACCCGGAAGGGCCCACAGCATGGAGAGAGTCAGGGGCCCTAAACAACCACAATCCAAATAGCCCACTCTATGAACTTTCCCCAAAAAGGAAAGAGCTATGTGAATGCACTGACTTGCCAGAGGCTCATGGAGGTTAGTGGCAGGGGGACTGTGCCTCAGTTCAGAATGGTTAGTGGTCCGGGGAACAGCCAGCCAATGAGAGAAAAGGGAAGAGAAGAGAGTCCAGGGGCACCTGGCTGGCTCAGTCGGTAGGAGCATGTGTCTTTTGATCCTAGGGTTGTGACTTCAAGCCCCACATTGGGCATGGAGACTAATTAACTTTTAAAAAGAGAGAGAGAGAGAGAGTCCAGAAACAGACCTTCCTGGTAGAACTTTGATATAGGACTATCCAATAAGAAGGCCTGGGAAAGGACTGTGTTATCTACAAATAAAAAATGAACTTGGGCTCGCATCTCACACTACACGCAGAAATTCCTGGAAACTCCAGATGGGTCAAGGAAGAACGAAAGAAAATCTTTAAGGGGTGCCTGGGTGGCACAGGTGGTTCAGCGTCTGACTTTGACTCAGGTCATAATCTCACGGTTTGTGGATTCGAGCCCCACATCGGGCTCTCTGCAGCCAGCACAGAGCCTGCTTGAGACCCTCTCTCCCCCTCTCTATGCCCCTCTCCTGCTCTCTCTCTCTCTCTCTCTCAAAAATAAATAACCATTAAAAAAAAACACACACACACACATCTAAACAGGCTTGAAGAAGAAGAAACTGGAGGTCTGACAGCACCATATACCAAGACAGGTTATAAAGCTAGAGTAACTAAAAGCACTTGGTATTGGCTCAAGTGTCGCAAAAACAACAAGCAACAGAATAGGGTCCCAACGGGCTACCTGCTGGCTAACAGACGTGCCACGATCGCATCAGGGGTATGTTAGTTGTTTGCTTCTGTAACAAGTTCTCACAGACTGAGTGGCTTAGCACAACACAAACCGATCGTCTCCAAGTTCTGTGGGTCAGAGATCTGATGCAGGTCTCGCTGGGCTGATGACCACATGTCATCAGGGCCACATTCCTTTCTGGAGGCTCCAGGAGAGAACCCATGTTCTCACCTTTGCCAGCTTGCGAAGGCTGCTCGCATTCCCCGGCTCAAGGCCCTTCCTTCACCTTCGAGGCCAGCAAAGGCTGCATCGTTCTGACCTCTTCCTCTGTATCAGATCTCCCTCTACCCTTCACCCCTGCCTCTGTCATCCATTTCTAAGGATGCTTACGATGACATTGGCCTAGCTGCCTCTTCCGGAATAATATCCCATCTCCAGATCCTTAATACAATTATCTCTGCAAAATCCCTTTTTCCATGTAAAGCAACATATTCCCAAATTCTGGGATTACGATGGGACACGGGCATCTTCGTAGCTGTGTCTGAATAAATGGTGCTGGATCTACTTGGTACCCATAGGGAAAAGTAATCCTGATGCCTGCTTTACAGTATACAAGACAAACACCAATTTTAAATAATCATAAGCCTACATGTGAAATATAGAACAATTAAGTTTCTAGAACAAAACATAAAAGAATGTCCTCATGACCTTGGGGTAGCAAAAATTTCTTCAACTCACCAAAAAAGAGATTAAATCATTAAAATCAAGAATGATTCCTCAAAGACACCATTAAGAGTTGAAAAGGTAATCTACTGAAAGGAAGAAAAGGCTTGCAATACATACATCTAAGGACTCATACCCAGCATACACCAAGAACTCTTACAAATCAATAAGAAAAAGGCAGACGACTGAATGGAGACGTTGACAAAGCACTAGCCTTACTTACATAGACACTTCCCAAAATAGCAAGTCCAAATGGTCAAGGGTAAATGAGAGGACGCCTCAAAATTTTCAGTCATGCAAAGGAATGCAAAATGAAAGCACAGTGTGCCTCCAGAATAATTATAGTCATAGTCACAACAGAAATGAGGGTCAGTGAGGGTATGGAGCGGCTGCACCCCTCCTGCTCTGCTGATGGCGGGCTAAGACGAAAGGACCCCTTTGGAAACCATCTGTCAGTCCCTGCGAACATTGAATTTAAGTACACCCCCGACCAGCAATTCTCCTATCAAAGCTGTATGTACGTGCAAAAAAGGCACATGTGAGAACATTAATAGCAACGTTGTTCACACTGGCCAAAAGCTGAGGGCCCATCAACCCTCCCAGCACTGAAAAATGAGCTGTGGTATACTCATTAAAACACATAATGGGATACTGTGTATCCCACTGAAAAATTCCCTATTTTTTTTTTTAAATTTTTTTTTTCAACGTTTTATTTTATTTTTGGGACAGAGAGAGACAGAGCACGAACGGGGGAGGGGCAGAGAGAGAGGGAGACACAGAATCGGAAAGAGGCTCCAGGCTCTGAGCCATCAGCCCAGAGCCCGACGCGGGGCTCGAACTCACGGACCGCGAGATCGTGACCTGGCTGAGGTCGGACGCTTAACCGACTGCGCCACCCAGGCGCCCCAAAAAATTCCCTATTTTATATACCAATGAAAAATAACGAATGTGACTCACAACAGTGCTGATGAGTTTGATAGACATAGCGTTAAATGAAAGTAGCCAGATTTAAAACGCATCCACCACAGTTGACTCTTGAACAGGGGCACCAACCCCTCCACCCTCGTGTACTGGAAAATCCACGTATAACTTTTGACTCCCCCCAAACTTAATTATTAATAGTCTAGCGCTGACCAGAAGCCTTACCAATAACAAAAATGGTCGAGTAAGGCATATTCTGGGGGCGCCTGGGTGGCTCAGTCGGTTGAGTGAGAGTCTGACTCTTGATTTTGGCTCAGATCATGATCCCAGGGTCATGGGATCGAAGCCACATCGGGCTCTACGGAGTGTGGAGCCTGCTTGGGATTCTCTCCCTCTCCCTCTGCCCCTCTCCCCCATTTGTGCTCTCTCTAATTTTCTTAAGTTTATTTATTTGAGAGAGAGAGAAGCAAGGGAGGGGCGGGGGGGGGGGGGAGAGAGAATCCCAAGCAGGCTCCACAGTATCATCGAGGCAGAGGAGCTCAACGTGGGGCTCGAACTTGTGAACCTCAAGATCATGACCTGAGCCGAAACCAAGAGTCAGTTGCTTAACAGACTGAGCCACCCAGATACCCCACTCTAAAATAAATTAAAAAGAGGGGTGCATGCGTGGCTCAGTCGGTTAAGCGTCCGAATTTGGCTCAGGTCATGATCTCAGGGTTTGTGAGTTCGAGCCCCTTGTTGGGCTCTATGCTGATGGCTCAGAGCCTGGAGCCTGCTTTGGATTCTGTGTCTCCCTGGCTCTCTGCCCCTCCCCCACTCATGCTCTGTCGTGCTCTCTCTCTCTCTCACAAATAAACATTAAAAAAATTTTACAAAAAATGATCCAGGGGCACCTGGGTGCCTCAGTTGGTTAAGCATCCAACTTTGGCTCCGGTCATGATCTCACAGTTCATGAGCTCAAGCCCCTCTAACAGTTCAGTGCCTGGAGCCTGCTTTGGATTCTGTGTCTCCTTCTCTGCTCCTCCCCCACTTGCACTCTGTCTCTCTCTGTCTCTCAAAAATAAATAAATGTAAAAAAAATTTTTTTAATAAATTAAAAACCAACAAACACAAAACAGGCCAAGGTGGTTTTGAGGCAGCAGTTAGAGTGGAAGGTGGTGTCTGAGAAGGGGTGACAACAGAGGGGGCATGAGGCTTCTGGAGCACTGGCGGCCTTCTGCCTTGATGGGAGAGGGGCAGCATGAGTGTGCGCACAACAGGGAAACGCTTCAGACTGCTCGCTTAAGACTTGACCACTTCACTCTACATACATAGGTATGTACACTTTACATACGAGTCAAATTTAAAGTTTAAAGTTAAAACCTTTCATTTTAAAAGTTTGCAAAATATACATTTGCATCACATTGACTCAGCAATCTAGCTTTTAGGGATTTTTCCTTGAATCCATCATGATTAAATTCACCTTTATATACAGAAACCCCTTCAAATAACAGTGACTGAGAAAAGATAGATGTTTTCTCACTTTTAAGTCAAACAAGTCCAAGGTTGGCAGTCCAGGGTCCTTTCTTTCCATTCCATCACCCTCAGTGCTTTGCAGGCAGAAGGAAGAAGGGTCAAGGGAGGCCGGTGAACGGAGAACCCAGCGCTCTGTTACGGAGACAGGGAGAGAACAGGCGTGGCCGTGGGCTCTGTCTCAGCCCCACAGACACCATTCTTGAGTACTCATGACCCAAACGAATGTCTCCTCCATACCCGAGCCCGGGCCACTGCCCCGGTCATGCAGGTTGTTCTGACAGGTGAGAGGGGGCTGGAGGCCAGCGCCCACCCCTTCTGCTGCGTGTGCCCGGTGAGCCTGCTTTCAGTCGGAGGAAGGCATGCCTTTCCCCATGGCGCTCAAAGGCGTCCTGGCTCTTCT